AGAATGGTTCTGAATTTCATTGTATCACTTCTTACGAATATGGCTAGAAGCGTATTCACGAAAAGCTGGAACATCTCTCGAGTGGGTTTTACATAACAACGATTTGATCTGTGAAGACCCACCATGTGGCCGACCTTATGCTTGGGTTCCAAAGCACTCTCTACTTTGGCATAACCAAATTAGACACCCTGAATGAGATATGATGCACCGTATCCTCAAAATATCACATGGGCATCACCTTACGTCTTATCCCAGCCATATGCTTTGCAAAGCATGCTGACTGGGGAAGTTGAACATTCAACCCTCAATTACAAAGATTATTAACGACCCCCCCCCCAAAGTTTCTTCAGAGGATTCAAAGGGATATTTGTGGACCTATCCAACCAACATGCGGATCATTTAGATATTTCATGGTGTTGGTTGATGCATCGACGTGTTGGTCACATATCTGCTTATTGTCCACACACAATGCTACATTTTTGAAACTCCTAGCACAAATCATTAAGCTTAGGGCTCACCACCTTGATTATCCAATCAAGTCGAACGTTGATAAGTTTTATAGATATTCGAGATAATCAATATCATGTTGAAACCATTGAAGAGAATGGTTCTCAATTCTTTATATCACTTCTTACGAATATGGCCAGATGTGTATTCACAATAAGCTAGAATGTCTCCCGAGTGGGTTCGACATAACAATTATTCGATCTGTGGAGACCCACCATGTAGCCGACCCTATGCTTAGGTTCCAGAGCACTCTCTTACTTTGGCATGACCGAACCTCAAAGTATCACATAGGCACCACCTTACATCTTATCTCGACCATCTGATTTGCAAAGCATGCTCATTGCGGAAGTTGAACATTCAACCCTCAATTACAAAGATTATTCACGACCCCTCTAAGTTTTTTCAGAGGATTCAAAAGGATATTTGTGGACTTATCCAACCAACATGCCGACCATTTAGATATTTCATGGTGTTGGTTGATGCATCGATGCGTTGGTCACATATCTGCTTATTGTCCACACACAATGCTGTATTTGTGAAACTCTTAGCATAAATCATTAAGCTTAGGGCTCACCACCCTGATTATCCAATCAAGTCAATTCGACTGGATAATACTATAGAGTTTATGTCATAAACTTTTGACGATTATTGCATGTTAGTTGGGATTGAAGTTGAACATCATGTACCCTATGTTCACACCTAAAATGGTCTGGCAGAAACTTTCATAAAGCACCTTCAAATGATAGCTCGAACTTTGGTTATGGGAACCAAATTGCCGGTATCTGGCTGGGGCCATGTAATATTGCACGCAGCTATGTTGGTTCGCCTGAGGCCCATCGCTACCCAACCTCATTCACCTTTATAGTTGGTTTACTGGATACGAGCATGATGTCTCACATTTACATGTATTTGGGTGCGTAGTCTATGTGCCAATGGCGCCGCCACTACGTACCAAAATGGGTCCCTAGAGAAGATGGGAATATATGTCGGTTATGATTCGCCATCAATTATTCGCTATATAAAGCCCTTGACAGGAGATATCTTTACCGCACGCTTTACAGATTGTCACTTCGATAAGAGAGTCTTCTCGTTGTTAAGGGAAGATAAGATCACTAATGTTTCCGTAGAATGCCGCGAATTGTCATGGATTACTCCCACTATGTCTCATTTAGATCCCTGCACTCCTCAATCTGAAACTGACGTGCGACGTATTCTAAATCTTCAGAGCATTGCTCAAAGCATGCAAGATGCTTTTACTGATCTAGCAAAAGTGACGAGATCACATATACCCGCTGCAAACGCACATGCAAGGATAGATGTACTTAACGTACGTCGTAATGCCGCCTTGGAAGGTCGAACCATCCATGAGGGTGGGGGCGGCCGCACCTTCCACGCAGTCCGATACACTGGCAGCTAGCCAATCATCTGCTTCTACCCTGAAGCATGGTAGACTCATTGGTTCAAAGGATTATAACCCTGGAAGAAGAAAACGACACAAACTAATGACCCTAGTCTGAATTCGACCATCGCTTACTCATCTATTCCAATGCATGAGGTTATTCTAGATTACGGTGATGTCTTAGATGAGGTTTAGAATCGAAATGAGATAATCATCGACGATGCATTTGCGTACACAGTAGCTACTGACATCATGTTTATCGATGACATTGAATCGCGTTCCGTTAATGAATGTCAATGTAGAATGGATTGGTAAAACTCGAAACAAGAAATCAAGGTCGAACTCGATTCGCTTGCGAAACGTAAGGTGTTTGGGCCCGTAGGTCCTACTCCACCACATGTGAAACCCATGGGCTACAAGTGGGTTTTCGTAAGAAAGCGTAATGAGAATAATGAAATAGTGCGATACAAAGCACACCTCGTAGCGCAAGGCTTCTCTCAACGCCCTGGGATTGATTACGAATAGACATATTCCCCTGTAATGGACGTCATAAAGTCTTATCAATTTGGTAGTTTTCGAAAAATTGAATATGCAGCTTATGGTGGTAATCACGTATCTTTATTAGGATTTAGATACGGAAATTTACATGAAAGTTCCAGAAGGACTTCAATTGACTGGTTTAAATAGTTCTGGACCACGGAACACTCTTTTGATTAGATTAAGGAGATCACCATATGAATTGAAACAATCTGGATGGATGGGGTATAACCATCTGAGTGAATATTTGACAAGTCAGGGTTATGTGAACAACGAACTATGCCCATGCGTGCAGTTTATGTTGACATAAACCCTATAGGAACTCCCACAGAGCTTAAGGAAATTGTCGATCACTTGAAATCAAAATTTGAGATGAATGATCTTGGGAAAACTCGATATTGTTTCTGCTTGGAGATCAAGCATTGTTTGGATGGAATCCTAGTACATCCATTGACCTACACCCAAAAAGTGTTGCGACGTTTTAATGAGGATAAAGCGAATCCTTGGAGTTCTCCTATGGTCGTTTGGACTCTAGATGCAAAACGAGATCTCGTCCCAAGGAAGATGAAGAGATTTTAGAGCCTGAAGTTCCATACCTAAATGCAATTGGTGCTTTATTGTACTTAGCTCAATACACTAGACCCAACATCTCCTTCGATGTTAATCTTTTGGCTAGATACAGCAATACGCCTACACGCAGACATTAGAATTGTGTTAAAGATATTTTCCGCTACCTCAAAGGTACAATGGATTTAGGCTTGTTCTACACCCATGAATCATTAAGAGGATCCGCCGCCCTCTCAATCCTCGGGTTGATTCTCGCCTCATTGGTTATGCAAATGTTGGTTATTTGTCTAACCCACATAGGGCACGTTCCTAAACGCTAGTTGCGACTTCTTCGAACCATGTTGAGATTCTCGCCTTGCATGAAGCCTCACGTGAGTGCTTTTGGCTAAGAGCAGTCATGGAACATAATCGAAGCACTAGTGGTCTTACTACTATCGTTGACCTTCCTACGACGATCTTTGAAAACAATGCAGCATGTATCAAGTAGTTAAATAAGGGATACATCAAGAGAGACAACACCAAGTATATAGCACCGATGTTCTTTTATTCTCACCAGCAACAATAACATTAGAACATTGAAGTCAAGCAAATCCGTTCTCATGACAATCTGGCCGATCTCTTTACTAAGTCATTGGCCAAAGCTACTTTTTAGAAACTCGTCCAAGGAATCGGTATGCGTAAATTATCTACGTTGAATTGCTTGTAGTTCTCTTATTTGGAAGTTATGTCTAACTCAAGAGGAGTATCCTGAAGCATACTCACTTGATCTTAATGTACTCTTTTTCATATGAATAGGAGCATTTTTTCCACTGGGTTTTTGCTACCTAACGAGGTGTTGATGAGGCACCTATCCTGGGATGATCATACTCCATTGGGTTCACTACTTTCGTCCCGTATGACGTTTGTTGTAGACATTATGCATACTTCTCACTTTTCTCCTTAGTCTATAGGTTACCTACCTTAGGTTTTACCATAGCGAGGTTTTGTGAGTTTTACTACCAATGCATACTTTCTTTAATTTGATACTCGCATTCGCCCGTTCTGCCAACGACTTCATCAATTGTTCAACCTCAACTGCTAAAGACCTGATGTGAATGTTTTGTTTGAATATTTAACACTCAAGGGGAGTGTTGCAGTCTTATTAGACTAGGAAAGTGATTGTGTAAATCTTGGTGTATCTATAGATATCTTGGAATATTTCCTAAGTTAGATATTATCCTATTAGAGCTGTAATCCTATTAGGGTAAGGATTTAACCTATTCTACTACTATAAATAAAAGCACAATGGAGTGATACAACACACATCTCAGAATTACATATCTCTATCATCTCTCTCTTGCCGCCGGCCCTCTCCCTCTCTAGTCCTAAATCCAGTTCAGTAAATTAGGTCTACAACGGTTTACACCCAATATTTATCTCAATACGGATAAATTTTCTTTTTCTTTTTCTTTTTTTTAGTACCCAATTATGCCCCCGTGTGGAACGACTTAAATACCAATACGTTAAATAAATCAAAATTTTATAAAACATTTTAAAAATAAATATTTTAACAAAGGATTCAAGGAAAAGTAAAAATCATGGTACTTGGGTCAGAAAAAGAAAAATATTTTAATAAAAAATTTAAAAATAAAATTACCTTAAACATATTCGTTGTGGGTCACCCGTAAAAACCTGATGATACTTTGGGTCAGAAAAATAGTTTCCGTATACATCTTTTATTTTTATTTTTATTGCATTCTCGTTTATTTTCATCTCTATATTCTGCTTTGATAAGGGGTATACATGGGAGAAAAGTCGTGTATGGAAATCACCTTCCAAAGTTTAATGAGACACATCCATAAACTTTCCTACTTAAAACATTCACATCACCATTTTGGTTCTTGCACACCAAACCAAGGTGGTCGTAGAAGTACAAATGACTAGATGAAATCAAACTTCAGCTTATATGAAAAGCCACCAAAACAAAGACCATCTCATAGCAATGTTAAAATATCTTTAAAACCAAATCCAGAATGCATCTTTTTATTTTTGGACGGTAATACCGGTAAATCCACAAGTCATCAAATAGTTCTGAGAACATCCACGACTCCCCCTCTTACTACAAACGAGGGGGAGGGGGAAGGAAGGAAACATCAATACGAACAACCACCTCCGAGCGTGAAAATGAAAAAAAGATCCAACAAGCTAACCAAAAGCACCACAAGGCATGAGTTTCTATTCCATTGCGTTGGAACAACCTAGTCTGCTATGCAATGAGTAGAAATATGTGGAGCCTGTAAATATACCGTGTCTACTTTACGCATTCTGGACGCTTTTGCTTGCTTTGAACAACAGCCTCAATCTTTTCCATGACAGCGGGAGTTAATAGAGGGATTACATCTACAGCTTTCATGTTCTCTTGAATCTGCACACAGACGAAAACAGCTTTTTCGTAACTGTAGAAACATGACATAACAATTGCTATTTTAGTGCAAATCAGAGGACATTAAACCTCTCTTAGCTTTTCCAGATTATCACCATTTAAAACAAACCAGAGTTCTCCCTTCACAATGGAATAACTACACGCCTATTTAACAGTCATGTCACTGTACAGTTTTTAAAGGCTCTTCCCTCTCCGTTTGCTCTTTCTCCCAAAGGAATTGGTCATTGGTTGAATTGGCCATATTGTTTCCATGTAAAACCATCTCCATTGGAATGGAGACTAGCAAACAATTTGACATCAAAGCGAGGCATGTAAAAGCTAACATATCACTAAAAAGTCGTTTTGTTTCTTAAGGTCACGTTTGGTGCCTGCCTAGGATGAGATTGGATTGGATAACTCACTACATTCAAGGTATGTTGAAGTAAGAAATGAAGGCTAACTTCCAAGTTTTGTCCAACTTAAAAGGAATTAGATGGATTAGCAATAAGGTACTGATATCCTACCAATTTGTGGGGATTGGAAGGAGTTTCCTTCATGATGAATCCATCGTCTACCTTTAACTTGGACAATTTTGAATGTTAGCCTCCATTTCTTCCTTCAACATACCTTGGACCTAGTGAGTTATCCAATCAATACAATCCTAGGCACCAAATGTGGCCTAAGTTTAAACTGAAAGGAATGCAATCTAGGATAAGCTGACGGTCACCATGCTGACTGAAAGCTTTATAGCCTCCATTCTCCTTATCTGGGTTGTTGGACATTTTACGGGTTGTTTTCTTCTCCCCTCCCCCGGGTTTAAAATCTGGGAAACCGACATTGAAGACCAAACTCTAAGTAAACGACCACTATTTTAAGAAATTAGAACAAGTTTGGAGTTTTTCACAAAGCATAGGATGGGCTACACTACAAATTACAAATTAATGACATGAAACTGGAAGATCATAACAATATTACCCTTCATATGGTAATGACCAAGATTATGGTTTACCATAACATAATAATATGGGGAATGCTAGCAATCTTCTCACTTACCTTCTCATTTCAACCTTCTCATTTCTACTTATGATGTATTCCACTAGCACGCAAAACTAAAAAATTAAAATTTTAACAACAAAGGAAGAAAAATAGCAGGAGTTTAATATAATTAGAATTTTAGTTTTGAGTACCAGTGGAGTACCAAGTGGCATGAGGAGAAGTGTAAAGGTTAAAATGAGAAGGTAAGTGAGAAGGTTGCTAGCATTTCTCTTATACTGTTCTCTTGGTCGGAAGCTATTCAGATAACAGGATATGACACAAAAAGAAACTATAAAAGAGCAATACTGCCCAACCTGTCTCAAATGGTGATACTTGAACACCGAACTGAAAAGTAAAGTTCAGACCCGCCGGAAAGATAACATAGACAGGGATGAATTCTTTTCCCCAAATTGAATTAACTTCACAGTAGTAGTGTAGTAGATCAAGCAATGCATAGAAGCCAAGAATGACCACCTTACAATTATGTCACAAAGATGAATATCTTAAAACTAACCTGGGACTCCTTTGTAGCACCAGTAATAACTGACGAGACGTTCGGATTAGCAGCACACCATGCAATTGCTAGTTGAGCTAATGGTACACCTAATTCATCTGCAATTGGCTTAAGACCATTAACTTTTTGCAGCACGTCATCAACCAGTTTTCGACTAGCTAGATTCTGCGAGGCATAAATCAAAACGTTAGAATCCTACCTACAAGGGAGGAAAAAATTTAAAGCAGTATGGAACCTTGACACCCGAAATATGATAACGGCTGCAATGTCTATTAAGAGGAAACACCAATGATTCTAATCCAGAAATCAACCAATGCATGTCATTACATTGCATCCCAGCAAAAGGAAATTATATGGCGGGTGCTGCTTAGAATATTAGGGTCATCAATCTAGACAAATTAATAATTGCATGTACATAAAAGCATAGAGTTAACTTTGTCATTAAATCCAAGCCTTACTTTGTAATTGTCCAACGCAAATCGGCTATCAGGAGGTATATTTCCCTTGGTATATTTTCCAGTAAGAACACCAGAAGCAAGTGGACTAAAAGTGGTGAGACCCAGGCCATAGCTGGTATACAGTGGGACGAACTCAGTCTCGACCTGCACCCACAGACGAGTTGAAGAAATAACGGATGAGATGGGGAGAGAGTAATCCTTTCTTCACAAGCTATAACAGCAGTATTCTTGTTCCCCTCGTCAGGGACATATATCAGGATACACAAGGCAATGCAGTTGATGTAGTATAACCACACAAACAGGATAACTATATACAATATAAGACCGAATTATAGGCATGCACATGGACTTCAATTTAGTAACCTTTTTTAATTAGAAACAAAACATCTATTAAATTACAACAGAGGACAAGGTGTCGACCAATTTACAAGTTTTCCATCCTACAAAACTACAAGTAAAAGGCATAACAGCCATTACAAAAATTACAAACAGAAAACAGAAAGACAGATAAAAAAACATCAAAACCCTAAGATACAGAAGCTCTCATATCAGAAATATTCCAGAAGAAAGCCATTAAAGTTTGAAGACACTGATGTCCATATCAAAGTCCAAAACTGGACCCTTTCCCGTAAAGACTGCAATACAGTAATCCATAGAATACGAATGTAGATGTGGATGAGATAAGTTCAGGCAATTTATGGTAATCATTCAGCTAGCATACTGATAGAAATTAGATTCTTTTTACTGAAAATATGACTTTAGCCCTTAAAACTTAATTCTCTCCACATAAAGCCCGACATAAGTTTTTTACTTGAATAAAACCTATGACTAGATTCCACATCAACAAATTCATTAATTATATTTGACTTTACACAATTAAAAATTTCCGATACCTAAAATATCCTATTTGAATGTTTGATGTATACAGTTAATTCCATACGAATAGTAAGGGAGAATTAATGGTTTTACCAAAAAACAAATAAAAAAATCATGGCCTAATATTATAATAACAATAAAACATGCCTAATATATGTGATAATTCATGCTTAGTTAAGTCAATAAAATTGTATTTAAATTATTTCACACACATATATATAACAAAAAAAAATTACATTCATGCAAAATAATTTACATACAAAAAAATATTACTTGTTTCAGTGCACCAACTATTTAAATTTTAAAATATTAGACTGCATAAAAAAAAAAGCAAATTAATTTCCCCAATATATGTAAAATGCATGCAAAATAATTTACCTACATAATAAAGCAAACCCACAATACATGCAAAATCATGTACCTACATAAAAAAATGATATTTTTTTTCAATACTAGTTTACCTATATTCGTACATATAATAATAAAATGTGCCAAATATAAGTAATAATACATGAAAAATAAATTACCTACAAAATAAAATAATGTCATTTGATTCAATATCAATTTACCTATGTTTTTGCTCATCATAAATTCACATAGGAGTATAATACGTTTGATCATATATGTAGTACTGTTTTCGACAAAAGAAAATATATGTAATACAGTGCATATATATATATATATTTCAACGTATAGTAGTACTCTATATATAGGTAAACAATATATATATACACATATATATGGAGGTTATGGTAGTACTATATACATTAACAGAAAAAAATATTAACAGCAACGAATGAAATCTGGCAAAAACGAGGTTACAAATACCGCAAAGATGAAGTTGTGTGTACACAAAATAGCCAAATACGCGACTCTTCACCGAATATTACATGACGAAGGTCATGCTCATTAGTCATTATCAATCTGCTCTGGCGACTATGACTGGGTACTTTATCATTACCTGGTACCTAGTCAACTGCCCATTATTTTCATCAGGATATAGCAGGAGACTTCCATCATTTGTAAACATCTAGTCAACCAATCTAAACCGGCCCTACCAAGTCATCCATTAACAATTGTATCATAACGCTTTATAAGTTTATAGCAGTGGCAAAAATTAATAAGCACTAATTTTCTTTAACTGACGTATTTAACAACAAAACCGCATTAATTCAGCCAGTATTGTGACCTTCCATCACCATTACTAAAAACCCAACCCAAGTTGAAAATTCCACAAATAAAACGTCAAACAATCCCCATGTGGGCACAACAAAAACAAAGAAAACACAGACCTTGTGCCTGGAGAGCAAATTGTACTCAGGCTGCTCAACAATGGGCCCCACCAAATCCAACCTCTCGGCGATCCCCCACGCATCCGTGATCTGCTGCGCCGACCACTCACTCGTCCCCCAATAAAACGCCCACCCTTTATCGATCACGTAGTTCATCGCCCTCACCGTCTCCTCGATCGGCGTCGTGGCGTCCGGGCGGTGGCAGTAGATGAGATCCACGTACTCCATGTCCAGGCGCTTCAGCGACTCCTTGGTGCCCTCGACGATGTGCTTCCGCGACAGGCCCTTGTCGTTGGGGCCTGGCCCGCCCCAGAAGATCTTGGTGGAAATGACGACGTCGGAGCGCTTCCAGCCGAGCTCGCGAATGGCCTGGCCCATGATCTCCTCGGCGCGGCCGGAGGCGTAGACCTCGGCGTTGTCGAAGAAGTTGACGCCGTGGTCGCGGCAGGTCTGGAGGATGGACTTGGCCTCCTTGACGTCGAGCTGGTTGCCGAAGCTGACCCATGCGCCATAGGAGAGCTGGCTCACTTTGAGGCCCGAGCAGCCGAGGTTCTTGTACTGCATATTGTTCGACGCCATTGGAGAGACTGAGAGAGACTGAGAGAGACTGAGGAGTCAAAAGGTTTGAGTTGATGGGAGTTTATAGGGAAGGAAGGAAGGAAGGAAGGGGTTGAAGCACACGTGGATTTATTTGGTTTTTCCATTTCGAAATATATATATATATATATATAGCGTGGGGATGTAGGCATTGTATGTAACGTTCTTGTGGACCTGACTGGATTTATCATGCGAGCTAGTATTTGAGTGTCTTTTTCGAGAGTGGGTGATGCATTGAATCGGATTTTTCGATAGGAGTTGACTGTTCGACAGGGACGGATGGATCGACGGGCCAATGGCGCTGTGGCCGCTCGAATATGGAATAAGGGGTGGCCGGCGAGAGTTGGTATTGGGTTCAATCAATGATGACGACGAAGGAGGACGATGAAGGAGGACGATGATATTAATCTTTTCTTTGTTAATTTTATTTTAACTTTTTATTTTTTTTATTTTTAATGGATTTTAATTATTTTTTAAATTTCAAACCACTTTTTAAGAAAAAGAATTTAATTTTTTGTATTTTTCGCATGGCACCATATTATTGTAGTTGTAACAACCCTTCCCAATTTTTATTTACAAATTTTGGAACGAAGGGGTAGTTTGGTAATTTCGGTGGGGTTGATAGATATTTTAAATTGTTGCTTTTGGGTCTTGTTTGGTGTGCCCAAGCGGGACCCACTCTTGGTTTTGTTCCCCCGGCTCAAACACTTCATCTATCTCTCCTTCTCTCCCTCACTTTCTATCTTTCTTTCAACTCCCCTGAGCTCTCTCTCTTAGCTTTCACCCCTCTCAGTGCACCGTTGTTCCACCACCACCACCCCCTCATCGGCGAGCCACACCACCATCACACTAGTTCGTCCTGCCTCTCTTCCCGAGACCTAAACTAGAACTAACCCTCGAACATCTCTCGCACACTCTCTCTGCTCACGGCAAGGTCCAACGGCCTTCGAGCCGATTTTCGGCCAACTCCAGCCACTACTGGGGAAACCAAAGGTATAAATCTAATCTACACTTGGTTGTCGTCAATTTGGTGGGTAAATCATATGTTAGGGTTGAGAATCGAGGTTGACCGGAGCTTGGGAAGCTCCAGCTTTCGTCTCCGTGAGAACTGGTCTAAAAACAAGTCAAACCCGATCCACAAAACCTGAGTTGGCCCAACTCGTTGGGCCATGGAATTCAGCCCAATTGGCCAGCCCAATTGGCCAGCCCAACCCAATAAACCTAACCAGGATGTTGGGCCACGCAACACAGGCCCACCTTTATAACCCGACCCAAGACCCCTAGCCCAACCTTGGAGCCTAGAATCAAGCCCAAAACCCTCGGCCCAAACCCAGTCGAATCCTAGAACCTGGCCAATGTGTGGGCCTGCTCGTGGGCCCGCGTGTGAGCCCGCGTGAGCGGATGTCTTGGCCGGCGCGTGGAGCACGTGCACTTCCACCGGAGGTACTGTCTCTGCCGCCTTCCACGGCAGGGCCAGCAACAACACTGACGACTTTTCCAGCCAACTTTCCTGCGACTCAAATCGGCCCGTGCGGCGGTGAGTGGGGTACCTGAGGTCCCCCTTTATGTTTTTCGACATCCCAAATTCATTTATGACGTCCATTTCGCGAAATTCAATCATTATGGTATAGTTTTATTAATTGGATGCTTTATGTGCTTAGGTGCATTTATTGTGGCGTTTCCATCTTCGCTAATTTGCACGGCTCTTCGACGACGAAGTATCTATAAGTGGACCCTTTCCAAATTGCATGATTTTACTATTAGAAATGCATACATGAAAAACATGATTAAATGGCTACGTTTTATGAAACGTTTTTAAGTAAATTGGAGTTACACTTTATGATATATCATGCTTTATCGAATTTACGTTCTTTGTAGTATATATGATTTATGATTATATACTATGAACATGATTTATGATATGATGTTTGAGCTATTGAGCTCCATTGAGATATATACATATACTTTGGAAAGATTATGGTCAATGATTTTTGTGCTATCTAGTGGTCACTATATGCCTACAGGCAAATGATATCTATATATGGCTTCGGTCAGGTGTTGTAGGAGGAGCCTATGGGCGATTGATATTGATATATGGCTTTGGTTGGGTGTTGTAGGAGCCTACAGGCAAATGAAGAGTTTTATATGCCTTCGGGCAATACTGATACCATTATTTAGCACACTATATATGATATATGTTTTATTGAAGGTTTTATGACATGCTAGGGTTTTCGGAAAACCTATAACTTATTATGCTATATGAGTTTTCATAAACTTTGGAGGTTAGTACGTTAATGAATAAATGTTTTAGTATTACATATATCAACTTGGTTCACTCATGTTTTGTTTTGCACCCCCTCCAGACTTAGAATCGAGGCGTACAATCCCAGCATCAAGGCACTCTCGCATCGGCATCTTCGAGTCCTCTCAATATAGGACCCATCCTTCGTTCATTCAATTTTATATTATTCTTTTTTAGTGCCTCAGATTAGTTGTATGCTCTAAACACGATCCACAATTGCATATTCATTATAATTAAATTTACAAGTTTTATTTATGTCAATTAATTGTTTTTAGTTCTCATGCATCCTAACATGGCTTCGTCACCTTCAAGTGTCGGCCAGCACGTGCCTACCCTGATGTTTAGAGAATATCAGGGTCGACCGTGTCATTAGGAGTAGGTCCTACATGTGAGCCATATGGGCACCCTAACAAAAGTTTTAACGAAATTCTAATCAGAACTACATTAATTTACAACATCAAATTTCAAAAACGATATAATTTTCAAGTTCTGAGACCAAATGAAGAGTTTGGTCTATTTCAAAGACCATTGTGATAAAAACCTATTTCAAATTATGCCTAGTTTTACAGCTTTATTTCCTTCTTAGTCAAACTGATAAATATAATATTTATGTAGTGCTAAAGTTGATTTTTTTTTTTTTTTATCAAATGGTGCTAATAAAAGTTGAGGTTGAATTTATTTAGAAATAATTTTTACGCTTTTAAATTTAGTAGGTTATTCATTTTAATCTAGCAAGCAAGCGTTAAGAGTATAAATATTCTTCCTTGATCATGGTTTGTATATAAATATCCTTCATCCCCAAGGAATACAAATCCGTATAGAAAAGAATAACTAGAGTATAAATATAATCTAGGATTGCCAGCCCCCTTCTCTCTCTCTCTTTTCTCTCCATGTCGATGGGCCCCCAAGCCAAGAACCCATCCTGGAGCTACAGCTCCAGGCCCAAAAACCAGAACCAACACCCAAAAGGCGTCGCCCACCCTGAAACCACTGTGACGCATGGCTTGCAGCCATGCCCAGCCACCTTGGCTACCTCCCCAAGGACCTAAAGATCGTCCACCGATGTCACTTGGCTGAGATTCCTTCGAATATCATTGGATTTCTCGAAATCCCGATTTTAATTTCTAGGGTTTTTTTGTTAAATCGTTGAGATTTCATAATCTCTGTTCGTAATCATGGTCAAAAACATCCAAAAAGGGTACCTCCGAGTCTCCCCGTCCAAGATTTGGCCACATGTAGTGATGGCATCGATCTTCTTCCCCAGTGACACCCCCTAGCTCTAGGATTTCTTGGTCAAAAATCGACCCTATTTTTTGGCCTGGTATTGACTTGAGCTGAAGAAATTTTATTTTTCTTTAGGCTCGCTACTGCAAGCCCAACCCAACCCCACACTTGGCTTAACGTGAAAACAAAAACAAAAACAAAAAAAAAACAAAAAAAAAAACAACCTACCTTGGCTTAGCCCAACTCACAACACCAGCCCATATGGTTTTGATGTCCCCATGTCCGCACCATACCAAATCCCAGCATGCAGTTGGAGAATCGGTGCATTGCACTGCATCCCATCTAATCCACGCCCATCTTGGGCCTTTGGTACATTGGGCCTGAAGTTCCCTTGGCTTAATCAGACCATTCCAGTCCATTGCTTGAGCCTGGGCCGCCCGGTCCAAATTTGCTCAGCCCACTTGTGGGCTTTGGCCTTATTTTGGGCCCCTAGTTTAATTGTTTATTATTTTTAGACAATTTGGGTTTTATATTTTTTCACCTACACTTTAAGTTTGGCCCGAAGTTCAAATAATTAGTTCAATTATAATTATAGACCTGAAGTTCTATTTGCATATTTTCTTGTTGCATATTTTTGTATATATTTGCGTTTATCTGTAGGAACATATGAACCTGGAATTCATAATTATTTTGAAACCTGAAGTTTCTATAAACATGCCTTGTTTGAAAACTTAAAGTTTTCCTTAAAAACATCACCCATGAAAACTCGAAGCTTTTTCATGCGAATTTTAACTAATACATGTCTATTAGAACTTGAATGTTCTACTCCTATGTGAATAGATTCATTTTTCTTTCTCCATTACACTAATCACATCATGTCCTTTATTTTGTGATAGGAACATGTCGAATTTGAACAAACTCAAATTCACCACTTTGGAGGTCTCCAGAAGGAACTACCTCAAGTGGGTCCAAGATGTTAAGCTCCACCTCACAGCAAAGAATTTGCGTCCCACCATTGAAGATGAGATAGACAACCCGGTTGGCGAACCCACGTGCACTATGGATCACTTTGGCTAATCGTTTTGATCACCAAAAAGACATCTTCTTGCCTAAAGCAAGACATGACTGGCAGCATTTGCACTTCCAAGACTTGAAGTCTGTGAATGAATACAATTCTGAAGTTTGTCAAATCCGATCACTTCTCAAGTTTTGTAATGAAACTTTGAACGAAGATGATCTCCTAGAAAAGACATATTTGACATTCTCTGCTACTAATATTGTTCTGCAGCAACAAGATAGAGCTCAGAAGTTCACTAAGTTTTTGGATTTGATCTCTATTTTACTTCTCGCTAAAAAGAAAAATCAATTGTTGATGAAGAATCATCATGCTCGACCTACTAGGGCGATTGTTGTGCCTGAAACACACTATAGCATAAACCAATGCCCAAAACGCCAAAAAAAGTGTGGTAGGGGTGGCCAGAAGCCACCCTGTCAAGGTCAATAGAGTCAAGGCCCATCTAAATGAGGAAACAATGCCCAGAAGTGCCCTAACCTCGCTCCCAAGGCCTCAATCTTCAAGAATAAGGGCAAAGCACCTGAAACTATAGATGCGGATATGTGTTATCGTTATGGTTCAAATGATCATTGGTCTCATGTTTGCTATGCTCCCCAAAAGGTTGTAGCTGAATATCATTCTCGTCGTAAGAAGTTTGAATCAAACTTCGTGCGAGTGGACAAACCGGAGAGTACCAAAATGGAGGTTTCTGACTTTCAAGAGGATAACACACTTATGGAAGATTAGAATCTTAGACATAAACTAATTTTGTTTAGTTGAAATAAGACAATG